GCCATATGACATTTCGTCGAAATACTACGCACATGGCACCCTTTAGCATCAATATAACACACTGTTATGTGTGGGTTTAGGTCTGGGGTAGGGTCTGTGTCTGATATTGATGCTAAAGGATGCCAATCACCTGTATGACGCCTTGGGTTCTGCGTGTTATATTGACGCTAAAGGGTGCCATGTGCATAATATTTCAACGAAATGTCATATGGGGTCACCTATATTATGCCAAAGGATGGGAACGGGCTAAATTGGCTTTTATAGGGAGGGGGAGCCCTTATTTATGGTGAATGGTCATCATTCAAAATCGCGCCGTAAAATGAATGTGTTTTTACACCAAAGAGGCTTTTTTTCCAGTATTAATGTGTAAGGTAGGGTTGAGTACTTATTTAAACAAAGAGAAATACTTTACTAATCAGGCAACAGATTTCACCCTCAGAAAATGTATGAAATTGAACATGTTTGAAAATATTGGTTGGCATATATCTTTTAAAACAAGTAAATTATGTCGGTTTAAAAGAATCAGGGCCAGTTTCTTTGGCGCTTGCTTTGTTGTTTGATTTAATCACACTGACATACAGGGCTGTATGGCGGTAAATAAAAGTTGCCAAAAATGATCTTGCTATAGGGGTTTTGGGGTTATCCCCTACTATCCCACTATCTCCCCCCATCCCCCCCAACCCCCCAAAATTTTGTGTTTTGAAGGCCCTAACAAAAGACAGTAGCTTTAAAAGCATATGGTCAGTAGCATGAAGTAGGCCTATTTGGGTGCAAAACACGAATGATACATGCGTACTTGCGTAGGTGTCCAAAGTCAACTGCGCTGCCATATAGTATTTGCCTCTCAAATAAAATAACTGCATCTTGCTTGCTCTCATCTATCAGACTCACCTAATGTCAGGATAGTCTATTGCCAGAGTTGCATTCTCAAGTTGCAAACTCCTAGGATCCTGCTGTTTCAGAATCTCTGATAATTTGGGCAGTAATATTAGACAGAGCCATTCCTCAATGGATCCCTATAGAGAATAGAATGGTACTTCACTTAGAAAACTAATTATAATGTATATTTGCAGTGATATGATCTTTACACAAACTCTTTCTGCATTCACACAATTTATTGTGTGAATGAAGAAAGAGAACAATGTAAAAAGAAAACATTAAATGGGTCCATATTTTGTCTGGGGGTCAATGTCATATTGTGTATAAAACAATGCAGTGGATATAAAAAGTATGCACAGCCCTATTAAAAAAGCTGGTGTTTGTGATGTAAATCTCACTGCAAACCAAAAAGACAGATTTCAGAGAAAAAAAATGGAATACTCTCTGCAAGTGTGCACAGCCCTGAACAAGCACCCTTTGATTTTACTACAGCTCTAAGTTTGAATAGTACGCTATCAGCTTGGAACATTGACGTGGGAATATTTTCCCAGTCTTCTTTGCAAAATTGTTCCAGATCTGTGAAATTGCTAGTAGGGCATTTGTTCTATTGTGCATAGCCCTCTTCATGTCCTTTCTATTCAGATCTGGTCTCCGTCTGGGCCATTCCAAAACATTGATCTTTCTTTGCTGAAGCCATTCTTTTGTTTACATGTGTGTTTTGGATCATTGTCATTCTGAAAGGTGAAAGTTATTTTTAGCAGACGCCAGACCCCTGGTTCTGTGCCAAAATTGTCTGGTATTTGGAGCTAAGGATTCCCTCCACCTTCAATATAGTACAGCAGAGAATCAGCACTAAAGCATTTTTTCCCCCACGTATTTAAGGTAACTCTTATTCTCATCAGACACAACACATGCACACTGAAATGAATAAATAAAAAAAAACTTATTTATCCAATTGGTTCCACTTTATTTTCATAGTCCATTTCTACAAACTTTAAGTAGTTTGCAACTACATGTAAACTAACTCTCATTAGTAATTAGACTGTAGTAGACTGTCAGACTGTTAAGTAATGGTTAGGTGTAAGGGTCTGGGTTAGTAGAATAAGTTGACTTGTAGTTGCCAAATTACTTATAGTCAGTACAATGTCTGTTTGCTTTTAGTGTTAGCAGATATTAAGCAAACAGTCTACTAATACTCTAATGAGAGTTAGTTAACATGTATTTGCAAAATTACTTATAATTAGAATGTCTAAAGTGGACTATCGAAATAAAGTGTTACCAAATAGGGGAAGATGTGTTAACTATCGAAATAAAGTGTTAACTACTAAGGAAGATGTGTTAACTAATCAGTATGTAATATAATTTTATGATTGTGTTAAGTATCAGTTAATCAATAACTAATGAATTCTGTCATACCTCCTGAAGAACTATTATTAATTAAGGTTCAAGAAAAATAACTAAGAAGTAACTACTGAACAGTCATACAAAACTAACCTCAGATTATATTTTATATACAGTACTGTGTGTGTCTGTTTTCCTCAGCATAGAATGCCACTGAGTAAATTCATGTATTTGAGGCAACGACTGAGGGAAACTGAAAATATGGGAACTTATTAGTAATTAATAAATAAGTATCAAATAATTCTGCAGGAATTACTTAGAAGCTGGAACAGTATTCTAAAGTGAAAATCTAGAGAACCCATTAGTAATTAATAAAGAATTATCAAAAAAATTATCCAGGAATTAGGCTACTTATAACCTGAAACAGTCTTCTAAAGTAAAAATATAAGGAACTTATTAGTAATTAATAAATAATTATTAGATAGTCCTTCAGGAATTACTTAGAACCTGAAACAGTATTCTAAAGTGACAATATAGGGAACCCATTAGTAATTAATAAAAAATTACCACATACTTCTGACTCAAATCAAACTTACTGTAATATATATATATATATATATATATATGTGTGTGTGTGTGTGTATGTATGTATATGTATATATAACGTAATATGAACGTAATAATCTAAGCCTTTGTAAAATACACAACAATTACTTGTTTACATAATAACTTCCTTTATTTCAGATGAGAACATTTTTTAATACAGCAAAAATTTTATTTCATTTTAACATGTATAATACTGCCTACATTTAAACTCATTTAACAAACATTTTAGAATAAAAAAAATAGTGCACAGCTCTGAGAACAGATTTTAACATCTGATGTAAATAGATTTAGCTGGCTATATGGTAACTGACATTGTGTCCTTGTATGTTCCCTTGCATAAAACAAAATGATTTACAGCACAGTAATGATTTTATGGATTAAATAAAACGTACACAAATCTGTATTTCGCTAAAGAAATGCACCAAATTGGCGGCGCTGAGAACTGGGAGGATGCAAATGCCTGCGCTCTTGCGTCACCAAATCACTCAAGTCAAGTCACCTTTATTTATATAGCGCTTTTTACAATACAAATTGTTTCAAAGCAGCTTCACATAGATAACAGGAAAACAATGTTGTAATAGTATTGTTAAATTCAAAATTAAATGTTAAATGTCCCCAACTAAGCAAGCCAAAAGCCAATGGCGACAAAGGCGAAGAGAGGTGAAAAAGGTAACAGTGGCAAGGAACCAAAACTCCATCAGGTGACAGAATGGAGAAAAAAACCTTGGGAGAACCCAGGCTCAGTGTACCGCAATATTGCTGGAACTTGAATGGTGCAAAAGAAGTTTAAAACGTACAAGAACTAAGTATAATAATAAGGTGTAATATACATGATGTGTTTTTGCTTATTTGCAGATCATAGCCTATTGGTAAATGTCTGCACTTATCTTTCTTATTAGTGCTGAAGAATGACAAACTGACTGTTAATTAGTAGTTACTTCATAGTTTTTTTTCTTTAACCTTAATTAATAGATAATTAATAGTAGTTCTTCAGGAGGTATGACAGAATTCATTAGCTATTGATTAACTAACTGATACTTAACACAATCATAAAATTATAGTACATACTGATTAGTTAACACATCTTCCTTAGTAGTTAACAGTAGTGACTTAAGTGTTAATAAAGAATTACCTATTAGTTCTTTATTAATTCCTTATTAGCTATGCAGTAAGTAAGATACAGTATTCTAAAGTGTTACCAGTGAATTTAATCATACTTATAGTTTACTTTATATATTATTTTGCACTTTACACATGTTCCTATTTACAGTAGATATAAATTTGTATACTTAAAATACATTTAACTCTACTTAAGTAGATTTGTAAGTAGATTCCTATGTACACCAGCAGTCTCAAAATGCGAAATTATTATTATTATTATTAATTATTAATAAAAACTTTACTCACACGCGCGTCCGCACTCTGAGGCCAGTGTACGTGCACTGTTATAATGCACACTATCACGGAAGACTGTATTACCGTAATGTTGACTTCATTCTCTAAATGATTCCCCTTAAATCTCGAATTGTTTCGACTTTAATCTCGAAATGATTTTTCGACTTTAATTTAGCAATTTTTCGAATTTAATCTCAAAATTCTTCGACTTATAATAATAATAATAATAATCTCAAAATGCTACATTATTTATTTATTTATTTTTTTTTACAGATTTTTTTTTTTTTTTACAGGTTGCGGTTCAGGGCTTCCATAGTTCATGACTTAAGTAAAACTGCTGTGCTGACCTATGGTGCATCTAATGTAGGTAGCTAACATAGTGGTCTAACCCTAACCTTACCCCAGACCTAAAACTACCCGCGTCATCTAAGTGACGCTAAGCATCAGATGTTGACGCATGGTCAAAAGTGTCAGTTAGATGACGCCTTGAGAATGCGTTGCAATAATTTACGTATTACTTAGGACAATTGAATGTTTACTTATTTACTGTTCAAAAGTAGTTTTATGTTTTTTTTTAACTTTATGTCTTATCCTCGGTTATAGTTATTCAGTTTATAGCCTAGCTACAATGGATGCTTCTTTATTATGAAATCAAAATTGTCAATTCTTATTTTCATGGAATACTGCAGTATTTTATTATAAATTATTTGACCCTGCACATAATTTAATACGGCTATAATTTTTTTCTGTAATAGCGGACAAAACCATCAAAACTTTTGTGCTTTGACACATTTTATTTAGCTATACAAGACATGCAGTGACAGCCACGATAATTTAAAAAGACAAATAACATTCAGTCTCTCTGACAGTGGGATTTCTTTATATTTATCATTTTGTATTGATGGCTTGCCTAAGTGATAAACAGTTTGTTACTGTGAAGCAAGGCCTTAGCTGGATTATGATACATATAGGCCTACATGCATTTTACTAGAACATTTAAATAGTTGTCTTTATTTTCAGAGCTTTAGACATATGTCTATTGAATCTGTTGTAAAAACAGTCTCAGCTAACCTGCTAATTTCACCCACCATGTATTATTACATTCACATTGTTTCTTTTTTGCTCTCTAAGTATCTGCTTCCCCATGCATTCAATTCAGTTACTCCAAACATACATTTGAATAAAACTAAAACACAGTGCAAGAAAAATATGGCTGTACCTTTTGAGATTTTTTTTACCATTATGATTTTAGAACTTCTGAGGCTTTCTCAACTGATTATACACATGCTCAGTGCTCTCAAATCATTAACACATCCATTTGAACACCTTGTAATGTTTCATCGAATTATAAAATACGGCTAATTAAATACACATTTTATTCTAAATAAATATTTAATTCTTGACCTTAGTGCTAGAGAAAAGTGTAAATCCCTTGAGAAAACATCACTGAGCTGTAAATAATAAATATTAAATAACAATACTGATTGTGCAGTTGATTAACATTAGCTATGGATATAACACATGGCATTCAGATGATTTTTCGTTTGACAAGTACTTTAGAGAAGAAGGAAGGGAAGGACTCAGTGTCCTCTCTGTCTCTGCTTTCACTTAAACACCCTTTGATCCTACGCAAATCTGAGCTTGAAAGGTTGGTCTTCAGGTTCAGGACAGCAAGAACATGCTGCTCACTAGTGGAGAGTGACAACAAAGATAACTGATAAACAAGACAAACACTGGAAGATTGATTGTTTATCTTTCATTTTGCTAATAATATTATTACTGATATATATGTTGTAAATAGGTATTTGTATAAAGAATGAGACGTGTGAAAATCAGATATCTTGCTATGGTTTAATAACTGCATCTTGCCTGCTCACATCTATCAGACTTACCTAATATCAGGATAGTCTATTGCCAGAGTAACAATCTCAAGTTGCAAACTCCCAAGATCCTGCAGTCTCAGAATCTCTGATAATTTTGGCAGTATTTGACAGAGCCATTCCTCTTTGGATCCCTAGAGAAGAGAATGGTACTTCACTTAGAAAACTAATTATATTTGTTACATAACAATTTCCCACTTCTTTCCCACAATTCATGCTCTTTCATGCTCTAATGCAAAGAGAATAAACTGAAAAGGTCCATATTTTGTGTGTGCCTCAATGTCATATTGTGTCTAAAACAATGGTGCCAGACTTCTGTATGATACTGTTAGTATGTTATGCACAGAAATGTTTTAAATAATTTGAACAAAACCAACACTCTAAACCTCTGGGGCTTTAATTAGTATTGTATGGTTTCCAATGCAAAGACTTAGAAACTGTGATTAAAAACACACACAGACTCTAAATTGTTTGCACATTTCTGAATTCACTGTGAGCCAGGAATTTCAGCATTTTCCTAAATGGTTCCAGAATAAACAAGGCGTTGGATTATGTGTGCAAATAAGAGTCAAAAGTACAATTTTTCTCATTTTTGTGTAATTTGAGCTTGCTCTATTTGAATGTGGATGAGAATCTTGATTGTGCATGCTTTGGATGTTTGCAAGTAGTTATTTATTATAAGCAGCTTGGATGTGATCTTACCACTTTGGCAAACACAGAGCAGATTTGACTGTTGTCTTGGCACATGAACTCAGCAGCTGCATCTTGCTGTTCTTTGTTCTTCAGTTTTAGTTTTCTCTTCATCATTCGTCTCACATACTCAACCATTACTTCTACATGCAGCTCGGCCAGCAGTTCCTATACACACATAGACACGCAATCTTCAAATATCTATATCTGTATCTTAATCGCCACATTAGTGAACAGTGTAAGATTATATACATCTATTTACATCATGTTTTAGTTAGAAACAATATTTGCTGTAAAAGTGACCCTGACCTCTCGGCAGACAGGCTTTAGTTCTTTGAATTGATCTATGTTATTCTCCAGCGCCTTCATCAGCTCCTCCTCAACCTCAGAATGTTTAGCAAACCAGGCTTGAGTCCACAGCTTACGGTACTGCGGCTGTACAGATAAACATGTCTGGTTATTTCATAAATGTATTATTTAATTTAAGATATGAATTGTAAAGAAGCATCACAAACATGGAAGAAAAGCTCAATGCTATTTTCCCAGTAAGGACATGCAAAAATAGAAAATGGTCAGGGCAGTATCTCCAGGTAAATAAGTACTTTCATGATTTTTTTTTCTTCTTTTGCCTACTAACCTTTAGTTCTGAGTGAATTTGACTATGGAAGTATTTGTGACAGATGTTTTTTAGGTCTGCTAATGTGTCCAGACAAGCCTTCCTAGAGTCTTCAGAGAAAAGATGTTCTGGTCTTTGTACATAATCCCTGAGGATATAGAGAAATAATGGTTGCTATAATTTAATTACATTCAATTATTTCTTTTTTAATTACGTTAAATCTAAATACTGATAGTGGACTGCATGTTTCCAGTTAAAAGAGAGCTATAGTTATATAATATATAGCATATGATATAAAAATGTTTTTAAAAATTATATAAAAATTCAAAAATGAGTAATATAAGACTATTATACAATTGTCAATTAAAGAGGCAGTAAGCGATTTCTGTGTAACACAGGATGCTACTTGTTGGCTTGCTACTCAAATTGATGCTTCCTTGTTTCCTCGCTCCTCCGTCCACCAGCCCGTGACCCGGAAATCATTGATTGATCTCAGTCATCTTATACAGAACAGACAACAGACAATATTTAGGTTTTGGTTTAAATTTCCAACAGCGTTTCACAGAAATCGCTTACTGCACCTTTAAATATATACATATTTTACAATTGCTGCAGCAAGGTAGAAAAATTACCTATTAAACTCACCTAAACAGGTAAATATTATTGAGACTAGCACTGAGAGTTTTAGGAATGTTTTCTTGTTTTCTTTTGAGAAGTTCCTCTAGACTTGCCTTATAGCTGCCATTGAAAAAAAGGAGAGAGCATGTCAGTCTTATTTTAATGCATGAAAAGTGATAGTGACTAATTATATACCTCAGAAGAAATCTGCCAAGATGGCATAGAAGACTCCTGGCTTTACTTTCACAGCCCAAAAGTGTGTTGACCTCTCTCACAGTTGCATCAACAAGCTATGGAACAAAAATGGTTACACTTCAATGGATAACCACATGAAGCCAAAAACGTCTCGGTTACGTATGTAACCCTCGTTCCCTGAGTAGGGAACGGAGACGTTACGTCAGAAGTGACGGAGATTGGGGGTTTCGCATAGAAAGCCAATCCTCTTCGAGTATTAAAACACGAGCCAATGGCATGCAATGCCTTGGGGCTGCGGAAATTTGCATAGCGTACTCCGCCCTACTCCGTGAGTATAAAAGGAGGAAGTGAACGCAACCGCAGTATGTCTTCGCTGAGGAGCCAAGACTGAACTCGGCCTCTACCCAGCGATACAGCAGAAGTGGCAGGGAGACGTAACGTCTCCGTTCCCTACTCAGGGAACGAGGGTTACATACGTAACCGAGACGTTCCCTATCGTAGTCACTTCGAGTTACGTCAGAAGTGACGGAGATTGGGGGTCTGTGCCATCACGCCATCTTCAAGCTGTCTTCCAGTGCCCTGCGAAAGACTGAACCCCCGAGCCTTACCTCTTTTTTTTTTTTTTTTTTTTTGGGGATCCGACTTTGACACAGGATTACCAAGGTACACTGGGAAACATATCCCGAAGGGGACATGCTACCAGCTGCCTACCGAAGGGAGGACTTAAGAATACACATATGGCCACATAGGAACGCATATGGAACACTGGAGTACCAACCGCAGGTGGCTACTGATTTAAACTCCAGGGGTGGCAGATGGCTTGCCAAGGGAAGACACATGCTCAGAGAGGCTTACAGTGGATAATACACATGAGACGGTTACCATGGGGAACCGTGCGCATGGAGGCACCTAGCTAGCATCCAGAGCAACGCAGTGGTGCCCGCATCGTCGGTGCTGGAGGACTCAAGACTTCAATGGAAGAACTGAGGAAATATCGCACTTATCCAGTCCGGGGAGTGGAGTGGCGAGCAAGCGAAGACACCTGAGCGGATCCAGAACTGGCCGAAACGAGTACGTGAGAGGATACCGGCTCAATTCGCAGATTATAGAATCTGGCGAAGGTGTTGGGTGTCGCCCAGCCTGCAGCTCTGCAGATGTCTGTTAGCGAGGCGCCGTGCGCTAAAGCCCAAGAGGAGGCTACACTCCGAGTGGAATGGGCCGTCACACCAAGGGGGCACGGAAGGCCTTGCTGCTGGTAAGACAAAGCAATGGCATCCACTATCCAGTGGGACAGCCGTTGCTTTGAGAGAGCCCTTCCCTTCTGGCTCCCCCCATGACAGACAAAGAGCTGGTCTGAGGTCCTGAAACACTGCGTTCTGTCGACATAGGTGCGGAGAGCACGTACCGGACAGAGCAGTGCCAAGGCTGGGTCTGCCTCCTCCAGGGGCAGCGCTTGCAGGTTCACCACCAGGTCCCGGAGGGGAGTGGTAGGAACCTTGGGCATATATCCAGGCCGGGGTCTCAGGAATACGTGAGAGTAAGCCGGCCCGAACTCCAGGCACACTTCGTCAACAGAGAGTGCGTGCAGGTCCCTTACTCTCCTGATGGATACCAATGCAATCAGGAGTGCTGTCACATAGGACAGGGCAAAAACTCTACCGACTGCAAAGGCTCCAGGGGAGGCCTCTGCAGAGCACCCAGGTCTACTGAGAGGTCCCCAGAGGGCAGGAGGGGAGGGAGGCGGATTTAGCCCCCTCACTCCCCTCAGGAACCTGATGACCAGGTCATGCTTCCCATAGACTTACCTTTCACTGCATCATGAGACGCGGCAATGGCCGCGACATAATCCAAAGGGTGGAGGGCGACAGCCTGCGCTCCAACCCCTCTTGCAGGAAGGAAGCATGACTCCGATCGAACATCTCCGGGGGTCTTCTCAGCGAGAAGAACACCAATTGACGAAGAGGTTTCACTTCAACGCATAAAGGTGTCACGTGGACGACGCTCTTGCGGAAGTGATGGTTGCCGCCACCGCAGGTGGCAGCGAACTCAAACCTGCCTCGTCCCGTCCTGGAGCCACACGTGCAGCCTCCAAGATCGGGACGAGGGTGCCACAGAGTGCCCCGTCTCTGAGAGAGTAGGTCCGGTCTCAGAGGAATAGGCCAAGGAGGTGCTGTCGCGAGGAGCAAGAGTTCGGAGAACCACGTCTTGGTGGGCCAGTAGGGGGCTACCAGCAAGACCTGCTCCTCGTCCTCCTTGATCTTGCACAACACCCGTGCAAGGAGGCTCACTGGGGGAACGCACACTTGCGTGGGCCCCGTGGCCAGCTGTGCGCCAGCGCATCCGAGCCGAGAGAGCCGCGGGTCAGAGAATAACTGGGCGCAGTGGGACGAGTCCCGAGAGGCGAACAGGTCTAACTGTGCCTCCCCGAACTGGTCCCAAATCAGCTGGACCGACTGGGGATGGAGTCGCCATTCGCCGGAGATGGGACGGGCCCGGGACAGCTCGCGGCTGCCCGGTTCCGGTCTCCAGGAATGTAACTGCACGAAGGGACCTCAGGTGCTTCTGACTCCATATCAAGAGGTGGCGGGCGAGCTGCGACAACCGGCGCGAGCGTAGACCCCCCTGGTGGTTGATGTACGCTACTGCCGTAGTGTTGTCTGAGCGGACAAGCACATGCTGGCCCTAGAGCACGCTCGGAAGCGGTGCCGGGCGAGCCGTACTGCCAACAGCTCGAGGCAATTGATGTGCATGAGGCGCTGGGCTCCTGTCCAGGAACCGGCGGCTGCATGCCCATTGCACATGGCACCCCAACCCGTGGTAGACGCATCCGTGGAGACAACGAGATGCCTGGAAACTCGCTGAATAGGGACCCTGTCCGTAAAAAGCTGAGGTTCGACCACGGGAAGAAGGATCGGCGGCACGTCGGAGTCACTGGAACTCGGAGCGAGCCGCGATGCCATGCCCACCTCGGGACTCGATCGCGAAGCCACAGCTGAAGCGGTCTCATATGAAGCAAACCGAGCGGCGTTGCCGCGGCCGCGGATGCCATATGCCCCAGGAGCCTCTGAAATAGTTTCAGTGGAACCGCACTCTTGCCCTCGAACTGTCGAAGACAAGCCAGCAGTGAGTGCGCGCGCTCGTTCGTGAGCTGCGCGGACATGGCGACCGAGTCTATCTCCATGCCGAGAAAAGAGATCCTCTGCACGGGGCAAAGTTTGCTCCTTTCCCGGTTGACCCGAAGGCCCAGACGGGCTAGGTGCCGTAGCACCAGGTCTCTGTGTTCGCAAACCTGAGCTCGAGAGTGTGCTAGTAACAGCCAGTCGTCGAGATAGTTCAGGATGCGAACCCCGTGTTCGCGAAGGGGAACAAGGGCTGCCTCGACGATCTTCGTGAAGACGCGAGGGGACAGAGCTAACCCGAATGGGAGAACGGCGTACTGGTATGCCTGGCCCTCGAAGGCAAACCGAAGAAACGGTCTGTGTCGAGGGAGAATGGAGACATGGAAGTACGCGTCCTTCAGGTCGATCGCTGCAAACCAATCCTGATACCGAACACATTCGAAAATGCGTTTGGCCGTGAGCATTTTGAACGGTAGTCGATGGAGAGAACGGTTCAAAATGCGCAGGTCCAGGATCGGTCGTAACCCACCGGTCTTTCTTGGGGACAATGAAGTAGGGGCTGTAAAGCCCGGACCTCACCTCGGCTGGAGGGACCGTCTCGATTGCACCCTTCGCCAGCAGGGTCGCAATCTCCGCTCTCAAGACTGGGGCATTGCCACCAACCATCGTGGAGCGAACTCCCCTGAAGCGGGGAAGAGACCGTGCGAACTGAATCGCGTAGCCGAATCCGATCGTTCTGATGACCCAGCGGGAACCCCGGGAAGCGCTAGCCAGGCTTCCAGGAAGTGAGCCAACGGGGTCATGCGAACCACAGACGTCCCCCCGGAGGGGCAGCGAGGCGGGTCGACCGACATGCGTGCAGGAGTTACCCCGTCCGGATGCACCGTCGAAACCCGCTCCCCGACAGAAGAGACCAGGGAAGGCAGAGCGTTCCACGGGGGTCTGTTCTGCGGGGGTCTGGCGACAGAGGGGGAAGGGATTGGCGTAGCCCGGGGACGACACACGCACCCTTCCGCGCCCTCCGAGACAGAGAGGAATGAACGGGGCGACGCACTGGACGTCGTGCGCGCTCATTCCAGTCTGTGTGCTCAATGACAGTGTCAGCTTTTCCTCAACCAGCTCAGGGAGCTAGCTAGAACAAAAGATTCTCCACCGGCCCTCCACCGGGGAAGGAGGGGCCCTGCCACCGCCTCCTGAGAAAAACCATGACACTATCACTGAGCGGCCCGCCTCAGGAACATCGCTTCGCCTGGCATCTAGCGGGGCACGCGGCCTGAGGGGGGGCTCTTTTCTTGGGACGCTTACCTGTGGCCTCCTCCGCGACGCGAACCGGCTGAAGGCTGCTGCTGGGGCCGCGTGGGAGGGAAGGGAGCCGCAGGGGGGCGTCCTCGGCGGCGAGCTGGCGGAGGCGTCCGAGCCGACGGCTGGTTGGAGGCAGCAGCTGGCCGTCGGGGCAGAGAAACCGCCTTCGTCTGCTCCTAGGCGGTCGAGAAGTGCTGGGCAAAGTCCTGGACCGCACCGCCGAACATTATGATGCTCCTGGACCACAGCGGTGGGCATCATCTGACCAAGGGAGCGAGCGACCGCCTCCGTGACCCGTTTAAGGACAAGGTAGGCGACAGGCTCGCAGCTCGCTTGGTCCGTCACCTCCTCGTGCACATTCCTGAGCAGCTAGCTTTGTAGGTGCTCATCATATGCAGGGCGGAGGCTGCCTGTCCCGCCGCTCTACAGAATCGCGCCGCCATAGACGACGAGAACCCATAGGCTTTGGAGGGGCATCTGAGAGCAACCGCCGGTCGACCGGGGGAGCCCCAGCGTACCCACAGACAGCCGCATCGCCGAGGGGAGGAAGGGCGGGGAACTAAGCACGCTTTTTTTTTTTTTTTTTTTTTATATTATTTTTTATTTATTTTTTAGTGCGTGTCAGTTCCGCATGCAACTCGGGGAAAAAAGGAAATTGGGGTTGGCGGTGGCCGTAAGGCGGCAGCGTTACCCAAAAACCAATTATTCAGCCGCGAGAGATCGGGGAGGGGCGGAGTTCCACCCCCACCCGATGCTCACGGACGCCCGAGATAGCACGGCCATCATCGCGGGATCAGACACGGCGGCGCTGACGCTCCCGAGGGAGGCAACGCGGCCGCATCCTCACTTCCCGAGGAGTCAAGCCCGCCTAGTGATGCTGTGATCGACATCGCATCATCATCTGGAGCGCTGCCCGAAGCAGCCGGTGCCACCGAAGAAGCAACCGACTGAATCGAACTAACGCTCGCTGGCTCTCGCACTGAGGCGGGAGGCGTGGCCCGAGAAATCGTCGGGGCTTATCCCACACCATCACCGTAAATCACCAGGTCCCCGGGTCGACGGGCCCCCTATGGAGGAAACCGATCGAGCGGGGGGGACCGGGACTCTCACTCAAGTGAGATCATTGAGTCTCGACCTCAGTGTAGAGATGGTCATGTTCCCACAGAAGGAAAATGAGTCATCCACGAACGCTGCTGCTGCATGCTGAAATGCCCAGGCATACAAAGCAGCGATCGTGACCATCAGATGACGACAGAAATCAATCACACCCAGAAGAGCACGGGCGAACCGTCTTTAAAAAGACGTGCGCGTGCAGCTCTTTCAATGAGAGGAGGAAATTCACTCTTTCAGCGCTGAAGCGACCAGGGAGAAGCGCAAAGTCTGGCAGACCACTGCTCAGATCGCAGGCGATGCAGAATCTCGCTGGGTACCGCCGTCACACCAACACTGAAGAGGACGCTCGTCTCGAAGAGTCTTGAACAGTGCTTTCAGGAGTGAAGAGGTTCTCTTGGCTCCGAAGCGAAAACATACTGCGGTTGCGTTCACTTCCTCCTTTTATACTCACGGAGTAGGGCGGAGTACGCTATGCAAATTTCCGCAGCCCCAAGGCATTGCATGCCATTGGCTCGTGTTTTAATACTCGAAGAGGATTGGCTTTCTATGCGAAACCCCCAATCTCCGTCACTTCTGACGTAACTCGAAGTGACTACGATAGGGAACAAAAACTTTTTTTTTTAGGAAATAGGTCTGACTCTGTTTGATGATCCCAACATGCCAAATAAAGATGGTGGTTAGAGAGTGAGTAGAGAATATTACTTACTGGTAAAACATCTATAGCAAGGTTGCTGAAGTAGTATCCATCCATGATCTCTGGATCAAAGTCATCACAAAAGTTTTTCTCTTCTTTCTCAAGAGCGGTGACTAACCACTTTCTTATCTCGTTCTAATGAGAGAAAATAAGCAACAGGAATTAGGCTATAAACTAAAGCAGTAACTGATGAGAGTAAAAAGAAAATTAGCTAATACCATCTCTACACCAGCTTTGAGCTGTTTGTTCGGGCAAAATCGACACTATAATCATTGAAGTTACCCTAAATTGGATGCTGCATGTTCTATATAGTGGTGAATCGCCTACAGTGAATGGATGCCTTTTTCTGTCTGATGAACTACATGCATTTGTGCTACTCATTATGTAGACAGCCTCATTATGCAGTCCATTTACCATTATGGCAGTCATTATGGTGTTGTGCATCGCATTAATGGACGCACCGAGGGCAAACATGGTACAACCCCAATTCAAGAAAAGTTGGTATTTTGTCAAATGCAATAATACCAAGAATCTGTGATGTGTTAATTATATTGAACCTTTATTCAACTGACAATGGTACAAATAAAAAAGTCCAAAGTTAATTTACAAATTTATTGTCAATTGTCAAAATCAAATTAATATAAACCAATTTTGATTTTGATTGCTGCAACACACTCTTACCACACAATTAGTAGGTGAATTGGTAATAGGTGCGGCAGTGTGATTGGGTATAAAATAAACATTTACCAATGGCAGTGGTAAAGGTGTTGTGACACAGCAGTAAAGGTTGATGTGACAACTTTGTTGCAGTGTGTTGCAGGCATCAAAAATCTAAATTTGTTTATATTTAATAATACAATTGAGTTGGTCAGTGAAACCATTGAAAAATCTTTTATTTGTAATTTTGTCAGTTAAATAATATCAGGGTTTTGTCACCTCTGTTTGGTATATAACTGGGTTGGTGACCGCTCTGACATTTGAAGTTCGTCATGTGTTGGTGTTTAGTCTGGTTTGTTGTGAGCACATGGCTTGTCTTGTATTGCTTGTGCCATGTGCTCTCTTGTCAATTGTCTGGCCCCTCCCATCTGATTATTGATTGATTTGCCCCACATGCCTTGTTCGTTACCCTCTTATGTTTGTTTCCCTATTTAGGCCCTGTTTACACGAGAACGCTTGCAGGTGAAAACGTAAAAATATTTTATCGGATGTGCCTTTCGTTTACACGGCGACTGCGCTTTTGGGGCTTAAAAACGCAAAAAAGTGAAACCACCCTCCAGAGTGCAAATCTTAAAAACGTCCACCGTCGCGTTCCCGTGTAAACGGTAAAAACGCAAAAGTCTGCTTGACAGTGAAGGTTGTACGCAGGCGCGCGGAACTGGTGTTGTTGTGTGGCAATGCTTGACGTTGCCACCTAGCCGTCTGGAGTGCATACTATATTGAATTTCACACTCTTTTGCGTCACCATATGCACGTGGATTTCCCACCCAAAATGCTCGTCTAAACTCAGAATAAACGAATATATAAATAAAGAATAATACGCAACTTTTGTGTTTTCTCTTCAGAATCGTTTCCGTGTAAACATAGCCTTAGTCTCCCTGTGTTTGCAGTCCTGTGTTGGTTCGTTGTCCAAGTTTTCCATGTTCCTTGTGTTTCCTTATCCTGCCTGTTTTTGTTTTCGTTTTCAGGCACGAGGGAGTTTTGTCTGTGTTTGTTTGTTTATTTACTTAATAAATATGTACCTATTGTTTTTGCACTTGAGTCCTCGCACCCTTAGGTTAATCCACCCATCCCATGACAAATAAAGGTTAAAGAGAATTAACAAATCACAGATTCTTGATTTTTAAGTTATTTCACAAAATCTCACCACTTTTCTGGTGGCATGTTGTTGTATAAGAATCTGATTATGCAATTGTGTTATTCTGAAATAAGTCGTGAACTGAATGACCTCTTTGTATGAGAAGTACTGTTCCTCTAATCTCTTAAGATCTTCTTCAGGTAACAAAGGTCCAATCGATGAGTTGTTAATGTGCTCCTCTAGTTGTACGTGCTTCAAAACATCTCTACAAAAAAAAAAAAAAAAAAAAAAAAAAAAAAAACATATTAAAGAATATTAACATTTCCGAAACTGTGTTTAAAAATGTTGAATCATGTATAATATAACTTAGGAAGTAATAGGTCATGATTTTGTAAATTCTAATTGGCACTCACTTTGGGTAGTAATTGACAATCCAACTCAATATATAGAGGCAGTCCTCAAAATCAATACTGGATCTGGTGAGCTCTTGGAGTCTGGTAGAGAAGGTCTGATGGTAGAGTTGAGCATACGTTCTGCAAATGTCAAAGTCTGGTGGATAACATTCTCTCAGATTTTGGACCACTCTAAGCAGGTCTTTTTGTACTTGTTTGCCCATTCGACACACTTCTGTCTTCAAGGAGGTAGACAGCTTGTCTACTTTATTCTCCTGTTCATCTGCAGTCTTCATTCGTTCCTCCACGACTGTCTGGAGTAAATTGTCATGCATCTCTCTGCACTTTGTGGGCCTCCATATTGGACGCTGATCCACGGCCACTTCCGCCCAGCGTCTATCTTGTTCTTCCTCTTGAAGTATTGAAGTCAAAGCACTCTTGAGTTTCTCCTGATTGTCCTCATTGAAAGAATCATAGATGGCCATCCTCAGTCGCAAAATAAATAACTCATAGTCTGTCTGCAGCTTGCCCACCATTTCTTCTGTCCTGGCCACTTCATTTGAACCGAAGAGACATTCCTCAGCTTTCACAAGCTGCTGCTGTGCTTCAGTCAGACGGTTCTGTTCAAGGTTTCCAGTAAAATCCAGCTCCACTGCAGTATGTGAGAAGACAAATCTGTTATATTCACTTAATTTTTAACCCACTTAACCCTCAGTTCCTTCTAATTCCCTTGTAGCTGGGGTTTTCTCTTTGATGCCAATGACTCTGTAGATTGACCCCTACTAAAATTTAGCAGCTGTATAATTTCATAAAAATCTGTTTAAACTCTCAGAGAAAAATATGATAAATGAAGATAAATGTATACATGGACATTTAGACTGTAACCTTTCTATAACCCAGTTTTAAACCCCCTGTAAAATAGTCCTTGTAATTTTGAATTCATGAAAAGATTGTTTGTTACCTGATAGAGTTTCGTGGGATTTTGAATTCTTCTTCCGTTTCATGAAGTCAGGAATTTTCATTTTCAGTTTGATCGCATGTTTCTGTTTTTCCTCTTCAGTATCACCAGGGGAATCTGCTAAGCCTTCAAATCCATCACGGTCCACAACTAAAGTATAAATCAGAAATTAACAGAAAAGAATCTTGCTTAATTTTCTCTAAATTAAAAGCTCTAATTAAAACTCTTAAGTTAATGGACTCTTTAATAGACTTCACACCAGCTTGACGAAGTGGCTACAGTGGCCTCTGATTCTGAGAATCTCATGGTTGATTTGTGCAGTTCTCTCTCTCCAAGCGAAGAGAAACACACTTCCCCATCTTATAACGAGGATTTGGATGTACTTACACATGCTGTAGACAAGCTGGGGCTAGAATGGGATTGTGAGCCAACTCAAAATCAGTGACCAATTTTTGACCAGGCGCTCCCCAGCCCAGCCACATAAGCCTCTCCCCATCTTCCAAGACCTCCACCATGTCTTGGAAACAGCCCTTTTCGGCGCTGTATGAATGGGTGAGTGTGAGGCAATATGTAGAGTGCTTTGGTGGCCACTGGCCACCAAATGCAGGTCCATTTACCATTGCAGTTCATTTACCATTTACAGGATTTGGCAGGTGCTCATCGAGACTTGGTGCTCAATTATTTGGGGACCTAAGGACTATGCATAAACCTCAAAAAGAGTGTGTTGCTACGACATCAGCAAACAACTTTTCTTGGCATGGTCTTTGATTCTCGCAAGATGTGGTCAAGTCTGTCTCTCGCAGGAGTCAGTTCAGGACAGGACGTCCGGTTCATGCAGGTTTAGGTCTAATTGTGATATTGTGGTATTTATCTGTTGTCCTGGAGGGCCTTACAGGGCATGGAGGGCCATCCATTTGAGTCTTTGGAGTCGGTGTTATAAAAGTTTTTGACCCATAAGACGGTCCTTTGGCTCTATCTTCTCTTAAGAGAATAAGGGACTTGCAGGCTCTTTCAGACAGCTCTTCTTGTATGGACTTTTTTTACTAAAATCTTGATGCGATGTAGTATGTTCCAAACGTTGCGTCGACCCCATTTTGCTTCCAGCAGGTGGTCTTGGAGACTTCGACCGCACAGTCCAATGGCATAGATCTGACCAATTGTTTGTATGTTTTGGAGGTGAAAACAAAAGAGCTGCTTTCACAAAACAGAATGTCTCATTGCATATAATATAATAATTATATTGTATTATAATTTCATAAATGGATCATGTATCAACGTAGACAACAAGATGACACATAAACAACAAACCAACCAAAACATGAACAACACAATCTGCTATTTTACCTAATTGTGTTTTGGGGCTTAGAGTTTCTTCAGACTTGAAATTCTTCAGAAGTTTTGTAAAGATTTTCATTTGAATATTTCTTGGTATTTTGAGTTTGTGCTTTTTTTTCTGACATTGCGCTGTGGGATCTTCATCAGCTATGCCATCATCACTTCTGATTACTTCACAAATTTCAAGGTCTTCTTCTGAAAGCAGAGAGCACACAACATTGAATCCAAATTAAAGCATTAATCTTGTAATTTCTTCAAAGAAATAAATCCTTTTGTGTGAATAATGGGGTGTAAATGTCCCAATGGTGGCAGAACCGGAAGACAATGCAATGCTGGATAAAGTCATAGTTTTTCTTATTTTTGGACCAAAATGCATTTTTGATGTTTCAAAACATTCTAACTAACCCCTGATGTCACATGGACTACTTTGATGATGTCTTTATTTCCTTTCTGGACAAGGACAGTATACCGTGTAGATATTTTCAATGGAGGGACAGAAAACTCTCGGACTAAATCTAAAATATCTTAACTGTGTTCTGAAGACGAACGGAGGTCTTACGAGCTTGGAACGACACGAGAGTGAGTCATTAATGACATTTAATTTTTGGGTGAACTAACCATTTAAGGTTTGCGATTGTTTAGCGTGGGGTTAGGGGGTTGTATTTATTTTTGTTATAGGCAATTTCCTGTAATTGACATGACCATGGACATCTTTTTAATTAACTGTGGGGCTAGTTTAGTTTGGGGACAAACACATACACTACTAATAGCTAACAAACCCTATTCAAGGCAGTGCCATCTTTGATTTTTAACAGGAATGAAAGTGAAGCTGTGAGGGATAGACAGATCACTTCAGTGGGTTGTGCTGTTATTTAGCCGTTAGTTAACATTTCATTGGCCAGTAGCACTTAGCACCGGCTCGAGAATGCATAATATCTGCTTCGGATGAGCATGCTACACGCGATTTCAGATTTCATTTCCTTCAGGAAGCAAATTTTCTGTTGCCTGTCGGAAAGCATTTTTATCATGTTTATTGCTACTTTTCAGAGCAGTTTTCAATCCTCAAGTGGACACGATGAGCAATAGGAGATCCATCGATCCATGTGACAAGTTCAATGCAGGAGGAGACACTCATGATAATGATGTGCTGTCTACAGCGGCCTCTGATTCTGAGAAGCTCATGGTTGATTTGTGCAGTTCTCTCTCTCCAAGCGAAGAGAAACACACTTCCCCATCTTATAACGAGGATTTGGATGTACTTACACATGCTGTAGACAAGCTGGGGCTAGAATGGGATTGTGAGCCAACAATTTCTTTGTGTTTCTTGGAAACAGCCCTTTTTGGCGCTGTATGAATGGGTGAGTGTGAGGAAATATGCAAAGCAGGTCCATTTACCATTTACAGGATTTGACAGTTGCACATCGAGACTGTGTGTCTCTCGCAGGAGTCAGTTCAGGACAGGTTAGGTCAGTTCGGTTTAGGTCTAATTTATCTGTTGTCCTGGAGGGTCTTACAGGGCATGGAGTGCCATCCATTTGAGTCTTTGGAGTCGGTGTTATAAAAGTTTTTGACCCATAAGAAGGTCCTTTTGGTGGCTCTATCTTCTCAAGGGACTTGCAGGCTCTTTCAGACAGCCCTTCTTGTATGGACTTTGCCCCGGGCTGGTTAAAATCTTGATGCGATGTAGTATGTTCCAAAAGTTGCGTCGACCCCATTTCGCTTCCAGCAGGTGGTCTTGGTGACTTTGACCGCACAGTCCAATGGCATAGATCTGACCAATTGTTTGTATGTTTCGGAGGTGAAAACAAAAGAGCTGCTTTCACAAAACAGAATGTCTCATTGGGTGATCAAAGCTATCTCTGTGGTATATGAGGTGCGTGGCATGGCTTCGCCTCTGGGTGTCCATGCTCATTCCACCAGAGAAATGGTTTCTTCTCAGGCTCTCTTTAAGGGCTCATCCTTAAAGGATTTTTGTTTTGCAGCAGGATGGTCCTCTTTGAACACCTTTATCAAGTTCTACGATTTGGACGTGAGAATGGCTCCCGGGTCTCAGGTCTAATCTGCTTGAGCGGACTCTTTCCTCGGTCTTACAGGAATCCTCAGGTATGGGAAGGCATTATGGTATATTGTTCCCATAGCGATGGCTTTGCAGCATTGAGTGAACCTATGAAAGAGAACTTCTTGATTATGTATGTAACCTTGGTTCCCTGAATAGAGAACAAGACGCTGCATTGCCGGCCTTCCCTATTCCTTTCAATATGTGCTTCATTTGAATATGTGCTTCATCACATTGCTGGAAATTACCATTTGAACTCACCATTTGAGACAAAATCTCTCCTAACCTACATTTCTTCCCCTCATCCCCCACTTGTTCCATCACCAAAACTGACACATGAAATCACAGTCACGTCAAAGTGATCTAAATCAGTTGTGTAACTGAACCATGTCCAAAGTTCCGCCGGAAGTGATCGCTTGCGCGTCAACGTCACTCATTGTTTACACAGAGATTTAGGAAGTTTTACCTTTCACTGCGAAGATCTAAACATATTTAGATAAAAATGAAATCGCAATGGAAGACAATTTCGGTATATCTAAATATGTTTAGTGAAAGGTAAAAACTTCCAAAATCTCCTTGTAAATAATGGGTGACGTCGAGGCGCAAGCGATCACTTCCGGCGAAATGTTGAACACGGTTCAGTTCGGTTCAGTTGGACATTGAACAACTGATTCAGATCAATTGGACATGGCTGTGGATACACGAGGTAAAAACGATATAAATACTGTTTGTTTTCTCACAAAAACCGCTCGTTTCGTGTCTTAGGCCATCAATGTGTACTTACATTTATGAGTCAATAAATCATGTTTAATTTGGACTTCTCTGTGCATGCTCTTTGACGTGGACCCCCCATACCTGCATTACATGACTGACAGACAAGAACGGTTTTACCGAAAAATGTCAAAATTGAAAATACTGTGGAAACAAAGACACCTACATTTTAGATGCCCTTGAGGTAAGCTAAAACATATCAAAAATTGATTTCAAAGTGAACTATCCCTTTAAGGTTCTGTTATTACAGAATTCTCACAGATCCTCGGATTAAATATATATATATATATATATATATATATATATAAATAATAGATTGAAAATTTGAGAGGAGTTGTTTCGACGTAGCGTGCGTTGAATCAAACTGAGATGAATCAAAGATGAAATGTATCACAGGACAACATGTGATCATGACTTTTGCGTAAACATTCAGGCCACTTTCGAGTCAAATGGCGTGTTATCTCTATGCATTTTGAGCTATCCGCGTGCATCCGCGTGTATGTCTCTACGCCATTAACGTCCGAGTGATTCAACGTGTATGTACACGCCGTCAAATGTCCACGCGAAATGAAGCAAAATGTAGATCTACTTCTGGGGAGCGATTTTTTTTTTTTTTTTCCTAGGATGGTGAGGGAGATTCATAAATGCCATTAACCCCAGTGAAGGGTAGGTTTAGGGACAGGGTTGAGGTAGGTCATATATTTATATATACAGTAATGTAAGTCAACGGCGTTCATAAACACGCTGAAAAGCGATTATGCGAGTTGCACGCCAAAAATGGAAATACGAATTGGCGTGTCATACACACGCTACTTCATGAGATCAGTCTGCACAGGAATGTAACAAACTGAGATACCCCACAGAGATGTGTCAACCTGAGATGTCGTTGGATGGCAGGGTAACACAAAATGTTTTAAACTCAAATCTCCTCTGGAAATAACTATGTTCAGCACCAACTGCAAACCGCAATTCCCATCTCACGTGCGATGACACGTGCAGAACACTCAAATGCACGTGACCAGTGCGGTTGAAACGTTCGTTCGTAAAGGGCATTTCAGAATGTTTGTGTTTGTAAACAATAGGCACCGCGATACTTCCGGGTGGCAGAACGCCAGCGGCTTCTACTGACCAACTGAAGAGATCCAGCCGGGAACTTAACAGTTAAATAGTTGTTGTTGATCAAAGTTGAAACGATGGCGAAAACGTGTTGTGTTTGGGGTTGCGCCGCGAGATATACAGCAAAAAGTGTAGGGTTTTTTTCGATTTCCTTCAGAAAAAAGTAAATATAGCAGAACCTGTGGGTGAAGCCAGAAACGAAACTTTCATATGTTTAGATGTAATTTTATAAATAGTTATGTTTATTTAATATAATTTTAAATAGAAGCTTAAACACAACGAGGGGTGTCTGTTTTGTCTGTTTTTGTGACTAACGTTTCTTTAGTATAACCATGGTGTATAAAATTCAATATAAATTCTCGGTATTGCATTGGACTCTACGATCGGCGGAAGTTATCGAGCATACAGCTTCACCAGAAATACCGCCGTGCATAGAGCCCATAGTCGTCAATCAAAATGAAAGTCCAACACTTAACAAAAATGTGAAAAATCTCTTCAATCGTCACCAATCAAGCTAAACTTGTACTTTTAATGCACTGTGAAAGAGATTTTTAATCTATGAGAGCCTGGTTAAATAAAGGTCAAAAAAAAAAGTGCTCAGCAAATATTCATTCAGCGCGCGCCGCTCAAGCAGCAATGCACTACTAATAATAACAATGATTAATTTGTGACTGTAATGTGTTCGTTAGTTTAAATGACGATCGATTGTGGGAATTTGTGAAACTTGACATCCCTTCAGTTTTATATTTGACATTTCCAGATCTAGTAATCTTACTGTTACCTTTCTCAGAAAAAGCAGATTATAAAAGATGCTGCTAATGTTTCAAGTTTTTCATACAAGTAGTTTATGGATTTTTATTAACATTTCTTTTATATTGCTTAATGTTTGCAACAGGTGAGCCAGTGCACAATTATTTTTTTATGTATTTAAATTTTCTGTGCATAATTAATTTTGTTAAACTACGTTCTGTACCATATCCCAACTGTTACAATAAAACATCATTTGAGCAATATAACATGCATTTTTATTCAGTATATAAGCAATATTTTGCTTTTTATGTTAAAGACACTATTGAAACCATGAGAAATGTACATTCTCAGGAAAATAGACGCTTATCAGTTAATCGTTAATAAAACGATAAGGTCAATCAGTTAAAGATTAATGAATTAATGGATAATTTGCATCCCTACCCCGCAGGTGTTCCCATAGTGATGGCTTCACAGCATCTCAGCATTTTAGTATCTCCGAGACGTTTTTTGGATTTGTCAGTGCTGATGAAACACTAAAAATATCTTTCCAAGAAATTTCAGAGGACAAAAAACTCGAGACAAGATGAACTTTAGAAAATTATAAGTGATCTAGTAAGCTTTATGCATCTTTTTTTAATGAAGATGCCATTAAAAACACCTCATAGCTCACAGATACCTCACAGCCTCGCTTTCATTTCTGTCATGACAGTGCTCTGAATGTCATGGCTGTTTTTTTTTTACACAAAACATGTGATAATTCATTTTATTATGGATAACATCATAACACACACCCGTTTTACCGTTAAAATGCATGGAAAATGAATGTCTTACCTTTCCTCATTCTCCCAAGGAGCATGTCCCGTATTTAATGCAGCTAAAGGCAGCCCAAGTGTGTTCAAACTATCTTTCAGCTGTCTGTGTCTGTGTCTTTACTGTGCCCCCGCAGATCCTTGTATATAGGCTGCTGCAGATGTCGTCACTAGACATCATGTGATCTAGTGGAAAGCTCACTTTTAGAGAAAGACCAAATGGTTTTAGTTTGCTAAACATTGCACGTTTTCATTTTAATATTGATTGCTATAGCCAGCTTCCTGGACTAATAATGAATACAAATAACAATATCCTAATTATTCTTCTGGCGTGACTCATGTCTGATGACACACGAATTAGTCTAACAATGCCATTTACATGTTTTCATTTTTTTCTCTCTTAATTTTTACTTAAAACAAACATTAATAACAAGGATACCATTTTGACTAGCACTGGGTCCCCACCCAAATTTGTTTTAAATGCAGTATTTTTGTTTTACAGACTGGACACTGGATTTAGGCAAGTCTTCAGAATGGCCTTTGAGTTGTTGCATTGTAAGTTACTATTGTGCTGTAAATGTAGTCTATTGGTGGGTTTGTGCTGTGATCTGATTTAGACATTTTTAACAGCATTAACAATAAGAAACACAATAGCAAACTTTAAAGGGATAGTTCACCCCAAAATACATTTGTTTGTCATAATTTACTCACCCTCATAGTTTTATAAACCAAACCTGTATGGGTTTCTTTAAATAGTCGAAGAAAAAGGAACATTTTTTCCTAAAGTTTGCATAACTTTGCACACAAAGTTTTTTTTTAGTTTTTTTTTTTAGAAATTAAACTGTCAAAAATGATGTTTCCATTCCCCCCTTTTCTGTTTCATCAATTGGTCACAGTCATTACAGTTTCTCGGAAACCATGTGGATTCTCTGGAAATGCTCTCACTGCTGCCTCCAGAGGTCTCCCAAGTGAAGGGACATTCAAATGGGAAAATCTTATCCGGTAGGGGTTTATGTTAATGAAATTAATCATTACTCCCAAATATAGAATAATCTAATGACCGCTGATAACTGATAATTTGGCAAATACATTTAGGCTAAATAAAAAAATCCAGACATTTGATATTTAATGAATTTGATGAACATCAAAACTTTCATTCATCCTGGATAAGTCAGGTATTATTTCAGTGCAGTTTTGGACTGCATATAGAAATGTAAATAAATTACATGAGAGACAATAGCCGATTGTTAATGACTGCAGTCTACTATAACATCAGTTGGACAGTGACATCTAGTGGATTTGAAGTGTTATTGTTATGCATGAGGACAGTTAACCTTAGTGTAAGTTTCACGTTTGAGGGGGTTTAAACCGTGACATCTACACGTTTTTAAAAGTGGACCAACGTGAAACTCTTGTCGTGATACAGTGTTGAAGAAATGTTGTTTTGGCCACTTTGTTTGATATAATCACAACAATTTAACGAAAGCAAAAATGGGATTTGAACTCAGGGCTTCTAAATTAAAGCCCAACGCTTTGTCAGTTGAGCCACTAGGTGTTTCTCAATGTCAAGGATACTTCCTTGGCAGGACGGGTCCTTCCAAGTCATTTCCTTCAGAGGCTAGGCAAGGGTCCTCTTTAGCGTTCGGAGAACATGTAAATGGAACAGGCTAGCAAGTGCACGTCATTGCGTCATTACATCAGTGAAAGGTCCGCTTCGGCTCTGCAAAAATCATTGTGCTGGTGTACTGCACTGTTTAAATACACTTGACAGTCCTTATTTTGTCTTGTCAGTCCTCATAGAAATAAATAAATAAAGGGATAATGTATAACCAGGCGGTTGTTATAGTGAATACAACCCCGCAAACTATAAAGCAGAGGGGTCTTGATCAGCCGGTTGTATTCGCTGTAACAACCGCCTCGCTACATTTTCCCACTAATAACATGGCTACCTACCAAATAAATCAATAATTTGACACAAAATATTGATTTAAAAAGGAGTTTATTCATTCAAAAACGATTATATTACCGGAGTTAACAGAACTACCTCCATATAGCAACATGATCTAGCTGTTAAAACACATGCAATTGTAAAATATGTGACCAACAAAAAAGGCTATGAAGTAAAAATTAAAACGTTAATCACCAGTAAAAGGGAACAGCTTTAAATGCCCTCAGCAAATTTGAGCCGATATGTTAAATAGTTTAACAAACATTAAATAAATGGCTAACGTTAAACTGAAATTATACTTGCTTACATTTGAAAGCATATTGCCGTTCTCTTTCATCATCTCGTGTTCGAGATCCACCTATGGGAAGGGCATCCGTACCTGACCTCTGCAGAAGCATCCAATTGCACCAAGTCTGGCTAGACAGACAGAAGCGCGCGGCCAGTGCCCGATGAGGCCACACCCCTCACCCACGGGCATATAACATCTGGGCGCGCTGCTATTCCTCAGTTGACATTCGCTTCTCGCGACCTCTGCACTGACACAGTTCGGTTGGATTAACGTTACGCTGTCCACTTTCGAGTCTACAGGAGGACATATCGCCAGATCAGCCTCCGCCAGACGTGAGTGACAGTCGTTTTTCTTCAGCCTATCCGCTGTGTTTTTTGCATCCGGAGCCGCCGAGCTCTCACTGTCCTTCACCTGCTCCTCCTTACATGGCTGCCCGCCACGTATTTTCCGAGTTCTTCACCGCTGGCCCACCCATGGCTATGTGACCGTCTAAACAGCCGCTTCCCCTGGGGAACAGTCCATCACGACGAGCCTGCCCGGCCGCGTGTGGTGCTCTCATCGCCGCTAAGGACCCTCTCGTTCTGCGCGGTCCGCTTGGGCTTAGCACGCTCAAGAAGCTTTGGAGAACCCGGAGAATTGCGGTCATTGTAATTGCTGCCCATGTAGCTTTTTACAAAGCCGGCTTTAGTTGCACTATCCAGCGCACCGTGCTTGGCATTTCTTACTCGGATGGGGGACACGGTGATGATGACGCGCTACCGGGGGACTCCCGGAGCGCCACAGATAAAATATTTGAGCGGTATTCAGCCCAATCCGCATTCCCTGAAGAGGACATCTTCGCGGGAAAACCTCACTCTCGTTGACGAACCGGTACGGTTCCGGCGACGAGGATGACGCGGTCTTTCTAACGTTACCCTAAGCTAGCGCTCACGCGGTTTTGCCTCAGTCGATCCTCCTGGAAGTTTGTGAGCGAGCGGCCGTTCGTCTCAACATTGTGTGGCCAGCTCCATAGAGCGCCACCGACCAGGATAGGAATATTTACGACGGGTAAACGCGGGTACCACCGCCCAGCCTGAGGAAACAACTCTTCAACGTTTTTTCCAGTGTTCGCGAAGCTCTCAAGCGCGCCTAGAGCCTCCCGCTAGACTGTTAACACTGTCTCACGGGCCTTGATGAGTAGGAAGGCGGCCCTGAACGCTAGCAGCCCGCCTGCTGTTCCACCATGGGAGCCTCCAGCCCGCGTTCACGGGCCACGAGCCCTCCGTATTCTCCCGGTCCCGGAACCCTTGTCCGAAAGACACGGGGTCTCCCTCGGACGGTCGGGACGTGGTCTCGTGGCTACCAAGCCACAGGGGGGCTGTTGTGAGGGAAAGTACATAAGCAGTGTTACCACACCGCACACACTTGGTTCCCTCACCCAGTTATTAAAGGCTTGCCCCAGTGTTTCCCAACACAAAACACAAACTATTATTAAACGAATCAAATGAATTCGTGCAGATTTTTATATCTGTGTCAACATAGAGAGCAAATCTCTCTGATCCCTTGCATGTCGCCCCGAGTCCACCCTCAAGATGGCGCCATTGCCTCACAAATCAACCAGCTGGGCTCGCACAGCTCAGTTGCGGCTGCAAGCCATGTGTTTCTAGTGCACGTTGTGTGTGTGGAAGGCTTGGTCATTGTGTTTCCCAACACATAACTAAATACACGTTTAAACAAACTATTCTTATATATCCTTAAAAATGGATAGTATTTTCTGCCTGCACTTGAGACTGCCCAGTTTATGTGTTCAGGAGATGTGTGTTTTTCCCCCCAATTTCAAGGGGCTCCTTGTGGGTAAAGTTTAGCACAGTGTACACCACACTATGTTTGCCCAGTTCACGCAGTGTTTGCCCAACACAAAACACACAAACACAAATAATAACGAATCTAACAAATTCGTTTCGGAGGAAAAACCTCTTTCCGCAGAGAGAACCTTCTCACTGCAGAGAGAGGAAACCCCTCCGAACCCCCGCATGTCGCCTCTAGTGTGCCCACGAGATGGCGCCATTGCATCACAAATAATTCTGTTGGTCTCAAGACACAGCTCTGCTCTGTCCCGAGCGGGGACACTCGCGAGTCACGAAGCGGCTTGGCGAACCGTTTCGGCTCCCGAGTGGGTTATGCGTACAATAATGCAGGGTTACAGATTGCAATTCGCAGTAAAACCCTCTCATTTCAACGGCATTCTCTTTTCTCACACGGAAGAGAAAGCTTCTCACATTCTGGAAGAGGAAAATTCATCTCTCTTAAACAAGGGAGCGATTCAGGTGGTACCCCCCAATCTGATGAACCAGGGTTTTTATTCCCGGTATTTTCTGGTTCCAAAGAAAGGCGGCTCTCTCCGCCCTATCTTGGACCTTCGAGTGTTGAACAAACATTTGAGGAAATACACCTTCAGAATGCTGACACAGGGCGCTCTCGCCCGTGCCATAAAACAGAACGACTGGTTCACATCAGTCGATCTGAAAGATGCTTTCTTTCACATAAGCATTTATCCTCCGCACAGGAATTTTCTTCGTTTTGCCTACCAGGGCATATGTTGCGAATTCACAGTTCTTCTGTTTGGACTCAGTTTGAGTCCCCGGTCTTTCTGTCTGTGCGCGGAGGCGGGCTTTACGCCTCTGAGAATAACAGGTCTGAGAATCCTGACTTACATAGACGATTGGCTCATCATAGCCGAATCGAAGGAGAAGGTGTTGCAGGACACCGGCCGTGTGCTCGCGCACATCACATCGCTCGGGTTCCAAGTGAACGTGGGCAAGAGCAATCTCACGCCCAGTCAGAATGTCAATTTCCTGGGTTTGGAGTTGAACTCGGTTGCCATGCGAGCGCG